CCCAATAACAAAAACCCAACAGTTCGGGGAATTCGCACAATTCCTCCCCACTCAAAACCGGGCGGTTCGGGGGTGTCCCTTCTGGGGCCCGCCCTTTTTTTTCCCCCCTAGGGGTTCCCCCCGCACAAATTCCCGTTTTTCCAAGGCTTCCCCCCCACTTTTCCCAGCGTTTTCCCCCCGCTTTTTTCCCAGCGGCGCATCCGGCGGGGAATGGGATGACGGGACCTTCCTGTTCCCGGCCCCGCGCCCGCCTCGCGCCCGGGGGACGCCCCCGCCACGACCCCCCCGCACCCCCGAGCCCGACGGGACCCCCGGAGCCACCCCCGGAGCCCTCCGGAACGCCCCCGGCCCCTCCCGCGCCGCGGAGCCGCCGAGGTGAGTCGGGGGGCGCGGGGGGAGGGAAACGCCGTTTTTTGGGGGGAAGGGGAGGGGAAAGAGCGGAGACACCCCCTCAAAAAATTTGGGAGACCCCCTCCCTCCAATTTGAGGTACCCGATGTTGGATTTGGGATGGGGGAGGAGGTGGCGGAGGGGCGCCGTTGGGGGGCTGGAAATGAGGGAAAAAGGAGAGTGGGAACCCTCCCTAAAAAAAACCTGGGAGGACCCCCCCCCCCGCCCCCCAAATTGGAGATACCCCCAGCTTGTATTTGGGATGGGGAGGCGGCGATGGCGGAGGGATAGCGAAACATTTGGGGGGGGGGGATGTGGATGGACGGCGGATTGTGGGGATGGAAAGGGGAGGGAAGAGAGCGGGGACCCCCCTCCCCATCAAAAAAAAAAAAAATTTGGGTGATTCCTCCCGTCCCGCTGGGGATACCCAGGGGATAGAGGGGAACGATGGATTGGAGCCGGGGGGGTAGGGCGGTGGAAATGAAGCGCCGTTTGTAAGGTTGGAAAAGATGGAAAAAGGAGAGCGGGGAACACTCCTGCCCCCCCTAAATTTAGGAGATCCCTCCCCGATTGGGGATACCCCCGGTCTTGGATTTGGAAGGGGGAGGAGATGGCAGGGGGGCGACAATGGAAGGGGAGGGGGAAGGTGCCTTTTTTTAGGTTTGGAAAAGAGGGAAAAAGGAGAGTAGGGACGCCCCCCAAAAATTTGGGAGACCCCTCCCGGAGTTGTGGATAACCACCGTCTTGGATTTGGGATGGGAGGGGAGATGGATTTGGGGCTGGGAAGAGGGATCAGGCTCTGGTTTAGGGGGCATAAAGAGGGGGAATGAGAGTGGGGACCCCCTCCAAAAAATTTGGGAGACTCCCCCAAAGAATTTGGGTTACCTCCATGTTAGATTTGAAGGGGGGGACTGTGGATAAACCGTTTTGGAAGGGGGGCAAGAGAATGGGGACCCCTAAAAAAAACCTGGGAGTCCCCCCCAGTATTCGATTTGGGGTGGGGGGTGAATTTTGGGGAAGGTTCCTGGGGCTCTGTTGTTCTTTTGTGCCCCCTTCCCAAAATTAAAGAGTGGGGGGAGCAAACCTGGGGGTACTGGGAGTAATTTGGG